TCATGGCATCTTAGTGGTGGCCAATGGAGGACTGATCTGCACTGTTGTGCTTTTGCTCTTACTCATCTCTTATGGTGTCATCTTTCACTCTCTAAAGAACCCTACCCAGGAAGGTAGTCAGAAAGCCCTCCAGACCTGTGGTTCCCACATCACTGTGGTTGTCTTCTTCTTTCTTATTTGTATTTTCATGTATGTGAGACCTGCTAAGACCTTCCCCATTGAAAAATCATTGAGTGTGTTTTATACAGTCAAAACTCCCATGCTGAACCCGTTAATTTGTATTCTGAGAAATTCAGAGATGACAAATGCTATGAAAAAGCTCAGGAGAAGAAATGTCATATCTTTTAGTAAATAAGCACATCAATCCACAATGAAGAGAGTCTTTTGACATTAGCGTCCATTTCCTTGGATGGCAGAAGTCTTCTTAAACCTAATGCTGACTTTTCTTTCTTCAAATAATTTATCATAATTATCATTAAAACGTGAACTAAGTGATTTTAATAATAAAAATTTTTCTCCCTGCTAGAACGTAAGGTCTATACTGTCTTGTAAATCACTTCACCTAGAAAGATGTAATGCCTGTATAGCAAGGAGTCACTAATATGTAATGAGTCAGTGAGGAACATTTTATGTAGTTATAGTAATTTTAATCAGTTTATGCATTAATCTTTTTTTACTTTTTCTGAGACTTAGTAGTATTTTTATTTAGATTCTTGTCATTTAAGTTAGTTTTTTACAGTATTTAAAATATTTTATGCTGTACAGATTTTCTTCTCTAAGAAATATAGTGACACTACACATCAAATTTTTATTGTAACACCTACTTTTTAAAGAAAAATTGCAGTGTAATAGATAACAAATGGTAAAAGTAAAAACCATACAAAATGGGATAAAGTATAGAAAAAACTTCTTATTTATCTCTATAGTCTACAGTCCTCTTCCCCAGAGGCAGTCACTTAAACCGTTTCTTAAGTTTCATCATGTAATAATCTTCGCAAATGCAAATGTATTTAAACATATTTATATATTTCCTGTGTATGTAAATGTATGCTTTTACTATGCACCATCTTGAAGATATTTCCATAGCAGTCCATATAGATCTAACTCTTAGTTTTCCTCATACTGTATCATCCTGCCTTATAAATATGTACTAAAATTAATGTATTCATTCCTCTTCATGTTGGTCCTTATCTTTTTCTATGATAAATGATTTTGCAATAAATATACGTTTTTGAATATGTGCAAGTATGAGTTCCTAGAAGTGAAACTGTTATATACATATTTGAATCAATAATTAGATAGCACATTTATATAAAATGTTGCTATTCATAGTTATTGCCAAACTGCCATCCTTGAGGTTGTACTGACAGCTGCATTCCTGCCCACCATCTGTGACAATATTTCTGTCCACATTCTTAACAGCCAGTTCCTGATAAATATTTATGGCATATGACAATCTGATTAAAGTTATTTTATTTTTTTATACTTTCATCAAAATCTTGTTGATATAATTGAGTTTGAGCATCTTTCACATGTTTCATATGATTTGTGTTTCCTTTTCTCTAAATGATCTATTAATGTCTTTTATCTGTTTCATTCCATTGTTGATCTTTTCCGTATTGCTATTTTTTTTTCAGGGAAACATTAACCCTAAACTAACATCTCTTGCCAATCTTCCCCGTTTTTTTTCTTCCTCCCCAAAGCCTCAGTACATGGTTGTATATGCTAGTTTTAAGTCTTTCTAGTTCCTCTTTGTGAACCACTGCCACAGTGTGGCAACTGACAGACAGGTGGTATGGTTCCACAAATGGGAAGTGAACCTGGCTATGAGGGCTGGCTCATCTATACTGATTTTTATTCGTAATGATCCCCTTACTATCATATATGTAATTACTATTTTTCTAGTTATGTTATGTTTTTAACTTTTTTATACTATATCGAAAACTTCTATATGTAAACATTTTTTCTTTACATTTTGTATTTATTTAATTTTTGGTTTTCATATCTTGCTTAAAAGGATTTTCCCCACTTCACTCTTACCAAAATACTCCTCATCTACTTTTAGAATTTAATTTTTAAAGAATTTTTGTGCTATCTTATATAAAACCTTTTGATTCATATGGAATTTATTTTAATATAGGAGTTAAGTAAGGATTGAATTTTGTTTTCTAAATTTTAGTCATTTTTTTCTAGTTCCACAATTAACTTTGCCATTGATTTGAAATCTTGCCTATTCTATTTTAAAACCCCATATGTATTTGGATCCAATTCAGGACTCTACTCATTTTGTTGATCTCCTTATTCATGTACTAATTGAAACAATGAAACAACGAGACAATGAATTCATATATAACATTTTGATATGTGATAGGACTAGCAGTCCCTCATTACTATTCTTTCCAGAATTATGCCTATTCTTGCCTATGTATGTTTCAAAATTGTTTAAAATAAAATAATATGGTTAAATTTAAATAAAATAAATATGTTTAAAATTAAAATAAGTTTACAATTAAGTTAAAATAAGTTTAAGATAGTTCAGTCACAAAACAAAATGCAGTTATTATTTTCAATAAGATTCCATTTAAGAAGATTAATTTAGAAAGAGTTACATCTTTAGAGCATTGACAACTGTTATCCAAGAACAGTACAGATCTTTTCATTTAACAAGTTATCTTTTATACTCTTGGGTAGTGCTTCCGTCTCTTGCCTGTGTTACTTATCCCTTAGAGATACCTACTGTTCTTTATCCATGAGCTCTAAAATGTTAACTGACACGTTTGCTGTAAGGAAAACCATCTCTTTCAGGAAGCGCATGACTCAAGACTTTGCTCAGCATCTTTTGGTGCTGCTGAGATCATTCTTCTCCTGGTGGTTGCCAATGACAACTATGTGTCCATCTGCAAACCCCTGTACTAGGAAATCATCATGAGTTACAGGGATGTGTCTTCTGTTTTTGAGTGGCATGAGTACAGTCAAAACCCCCATGCTGAATCCCCTTGCAACCATTCAGATCCTCTTCACAGTCTGACTGCTCATCTGTGGCTCCAATGTCATAGACCATTCATGTGTGATTTAAATCTTTTGTTGAAGTCTCTGCATGGACACACATACCCTTGGTCTCTTTGTTGCGTCCATCATTAATTTCATCTGCCTATTAATTTTTTTCCTCTTGATGATCTCCTGTGTGGTCATCTTGAGCTCCCCGAGGACACGTAGCTTGGAAGGGAGATGCATTGTCCTCTCCACGGGTGTTTCTCACATCATTGTGGTCATCCTAGATTTTGTGACCTGAGTATCAATATATTTGCACCCAATCACTGCCTTCTTCATTGATAAAGCAATGGCTGTGTTTTATAGTATGATAACTTCCTTGTCAAACTTAAATCTACACACTCAGAAATTTAGAGGTAAAAAGGTATAAGTAATTTCTAGAGTAAAAAAATGACTTTGAGAAATAATCATAACAATATAAAATGACTTTATCCTTTAAATAGAGAAGAAAAAAGAATATAATTTCTGTGGTTGAGGGCAAACTGAACACTATTTGTCAAAAGTATGTTCATGTTGACCTATAGGCACTCTGAGGAACAGTCCAGGCAGAAATTTATTTATCATTAGAAAATTATCGATTTAGATTTATGTTTTGCCCAACTGGTTGTCAAACTTTAATATACTATCGAAATTAGTTAACAGTCTTGTAAAATGCAGAGTCTCAGGACACAGCAACACAGATTTTAATTTAGTAGTTTTGTTGTTGGACTGATTTATCTAGCTTTTAAACAAAGTAATCAGGTGTATTTGCACCAAATGATCTTTGCATACACTTGGAGCTATTGTGCCATAATTTAAGTTCACATTATGAGCTATTAATGAAGTCACTTTAGTTTTCAAATTTAGTTTTTAAATTGCTACAATATATTTAACAATATTTACAATTTTAACCATTTTTAAGTGTACTGTTCAGTGATATTAAATTAATTCACATTGTTATGCCAATGTCATCACCATTTTTCTCTGGAACTTTTTCATTTTCCCAAACTGAAACTCCACAACTGTGTAACAGTAATCACCTTTCCCCTCTCCTGAGCTCCAGACAACCCACATTCTGCTTTCTGTCTATGAATTTGACTAAGAACCTGATGTAAGTGCAATAATACAATCTTCGTCCTTTTGTGACTGCCCTACTTCACTTAAGGTAAGGCATTGTATGTTAATCTATGTTTTAGTATGTATTAGGATTTCTTTCCTTTTCAAGGCTGAATAATATTCCATTATAGGCATATGCCTCATTTTGTTTATAAATTTATCTACCAGTAGACACTTGGGTTGCTTCTACTTTCTGGCTATTGTAAATAATACTGCCATGAAAATGAGTATAGAAAGAGCAGGGTGTTTGAGTCCCTGCTTTCCATTATTTTGGAAATACACCGAAAAGTAGAACTGCTGAATCACTTGATAATTCTTTGTTTAAGTTTTGAGGAAGTACCATGACATTTTCCATAGAAGATACATCATTTTACATTCCGATCAGCAGTGCACAATTATTTCAATTTCTCTAGATTATCTGCTGCATGTGTCATTTTCTTTTTTTTTTTTAAATAATAGCTATCCTAGTGGGTGTGAAATGGTATATGATCACAATTTTGATCTGCATTACTCTAATAAAAATTAACATTGTTCATCTTTTCATGTTTTTCCTGGTCATTTATATATCTTCTTTTGAGGAATGTCTATCCAAATCCTTTGTTCATTTTCAATGTTGTTTTTGTTGTTGAGACACAAAAGTTCTTCATATATTCTACATTTTAATACCTTATCATTTATTGTTTGCAAATCATTTTTCCAAATCTGTGTGTTGCCTTTTCATTCTGTTATAGTGCCATTTGATGCATAAAATTTCCTAATTGTGAAGAAGTACAATTCATTTATTTCTTCTTTCCTGGCTTGTGCATTTTGTGTCAAAGAAATTATTGCCAAATCCAACATTATGATCCTTTTCTTTTATGTTTTCTTCTAAAATTTTTCTAGTTTTAGCTAATATTTTAGGTCCTTGATCCATTTTGAGTTAATTATTGCATTTCACGTAAGTTAAGGGTTCAGTTTCATTCCTTTGTTTTTAAATATCCAGTTTTCACAGCACATTTTTTTGAACAGGTTGTCTTTCCCCATTGAATGCTCTTGGCTCCCACATCAAAAGTCATTTGAAAACACACACAAATGTTTCTTTCCAGGATCTGTATTTTATTCCATTAGTCTGTATGCCTGTCTTTATGCCAATACCACACTGTTTTAATTAACATATCTTCATAGTAGTTTTAGAATCAGGAAGTATGAGATTTCTAATTCTGTTCTTCTTTTTCAAGATTGTTTTGGCTATTGGGTGTCCCTTGAGATTCCAAATGAATTTTTGGATGGATTTGTCTATTTCTGAAAAACACACTTTCGGGATTTAATAGGAATTGCATTGAGTCTATTGATCACTTTAGGTAATATTGACCTGTTAATAATATTAAATCTTCCAGTCCATGAATGTCTTTCCATTTATTTTTTCTCTTCTGTAATATCTTTCAGCAACATTTTGTAGTTTTCAGTGTGCCATATTTTTGCTCCCTTGGTTGAGTTTTTTCTTAAGTATTTTATCTTTTTGATGCTGTTGTAAATGAAATTGTCTCCTTAATTTTCCTTTTGGGTTTTCATGGATAGTGTGGAAATTCAAAACTTTTTTATGATAAAAAGCTCTCAACAAATTGGATATAGAAGAAATGTACCTCAACATAATAAAGGCTATATAGGACAAATCCACAATTAACATTATAGTCAACAGTGAAAGTTTGAAAGCTTTCCCACTAAAATCAGGAACAAGACAAGAGTTACCACTCTCATCACTCCTTTTCAACATAGTCCTGCAATAAAAATTCCTGTGAAAGTGTTAGTTTTCTACATATAGATCATGTCATCTCTTAGGTGAAATATTTTACTTAATTAATTAATTTAAGTTGGTATTACTACATGTAGCAGTGCTTCCAATGGTAGCAACTTCCTATCACTTGGGTCTTGGCTTAAACATCACCTTTAAAAAAAGACCTCTGATAATCTTACCTGTAGTAGAATTCTCCCTCTTATCTTCTGTCACAGTACCATGTTTGCTGTCTTATAAGCACTGAATAAAATTATCTTTACTTTATTAAACTGCACCCTTATTTATTGACTGACTCTATTACAAGAATATAAGGTCTGAGAAGGAAGGAACTTTTACGTGATTTTTTTCCCTTTTTTATTAATTGCTGTGTCCTCACTCATAGCACAGTTCCTGGTGTGGAAGTTAACCAGAGAAACCTTATCTAAATTGGAGTCAGGAAGGCCTGTAGAGGGAGCTTTCATGGTCTATAATACATCATCAATTACATCAAACAGGAAGAGATTAAGCTTGCATCTTCAACAGGAAGTAAAACTACTTTACTATTGAAGGAAAGTTTTCATTCCCCACTGGCAACAGCCCAGCCAATAAAAAGTGCTATAGCTCAGCCAATGAAAAGTCATTGCCTCCCTAACTGTTACTTTGCCCCAATGGACTTGCATTTAGAACAGCCCTTCCCTACTCCCCCTTTTTATCTATAAAAGCAACTCCCCTCCTTTGTTTTCTGGATTTGCCTGTGACCTGCCATAGCATGCACATCCTGAATTGCAATTCTTTTCTCTATTCCCAAAGAAACTCATTTTAAGGGTAAAAAAGGCAAATTTGCTTTTTAAGTTGACACTGGCATAAAATAGGTGGTCTTAATTTTGAAAAAAATAATTAATAATTGATGAATAATCACTTATTACATCTATATTGGTGACAAAACTTTTTAACATAGGTTACCAAACTTGAAAGCAGAATAAATTGAACATTAAATAAAAGGAATTAAGAACTTGTCAAGGCAAGTGGGGAAATACTTGATAACTTAATATTCACTGGAACAAAATGACTTGGCTGATATTTTATTCTTGATTTGCAATAGTCTTATAATGGTTCTAAAGCTATTTTTTTCTATACTACATCGTTTTAATCTTCATTATGTGATTTGGCCTACTAGTATCTTTCCATATAGATGTTATTTTAAATTCTGTGGAAAATCCCAGTGAATTTAATTAAGCAAGAATTAGTCTGGATGTATTCCAATTCCAGGACTCAATGATAAATGTGTTCAAAGGGATAGAATATCCAGTGGTCTTTGCCCCTGTCAGAAAGAAGATGCTATCCTTTTAAGAACTGATATAAAATCTTCAGGAGGTCCTTTGTTGGGCTTAATGCATGACATTAAAAAAAGCACAAAATATCTGTTAAAGTCTCAAGTCAAATAGTTGGCCATACCAACACCATAGAATAAGAAGGGCTAAACAATTGAATGGTATTTTTCTCTTTTGAAGTTAGTAGGAAAGAAGTTACTCCAGAAAAATTTCCCTGGGGAAGGGGCTAGTTTTTAACTTCTTATGCAAAATAGAATTTATTGCCTTTTTGATAAATTATCCTAACATGAAAATTTTTGTTTTTCTGTGTGCACCATGTAATTACTATTAAAGAATCTACAGTGCAAATAAAAAGAATCTTCTAAATAATCAGAAGACTCCATGAAGAAAATGGACAGATAGCCATATGAAGGAAAGTATATCTTCAAGTTATAATGCAGCTTTTTGTCCTCCACCGTCAGAGTGGATGAAAGAAGAATTCTAGGGCCCCTGTGAATGACGTAAAAAGTCTTCCTTCAGATTGTGAACAAGCCACCACAAGGTAAGACTAACAGCAGATAGTGGGAACCAGGAATCATGATTGTGTGAATGTCTTCATTTTCTAAGAAATTAAATCACTTTGAAAGAAATTGAACAGATTCTAAACCAAGTTTTCTCACTTAAAAATCTGTGACCTTGGGAAAATTAATTAGAAGTTCTGAGTCTCACTTTCTTCAACTTTGAAGTAGGCATTACAATTCTTGTTACTATAAATATTACAGGTGATACATTAAATTGTGAAAGTGTGTTTGGAATCCACTGTATGAGTTTTGAGCTGTGGAGTGATACAATCACAATAAGATTTTACAAGGTTCATTTCAGCTGCTTTGGGAGAATTTGTTGGAGGGCAGAATCAACGTGGAAAGCCTGGGCAGGAGGCTATTTCATTGAGCCAGGAAGAAAATAAGTGCTGGGAAATGATAAAATTTGTCATATATTAGAAAGTAGACTAAACAAGACTTGTTAAATGTATCACTAAATTAATATGAAAGTGTAAAGGAGGAAAGGACACTGAGATTTATTGCCTATATTATTACATGGAAGGTGGTAGCATTTAATGAGATGAGGAGCATTGATGTTTTTTGTAGAAAATTAAAAATTTGGTTTCATAAAAACTAAATTGATATCCAATTGGAGATGTCCAAAATTGGAGATGTTGATAATACACCTTTGAAAATTAGGGGGAGGTATGGGCTGGAGACACAATATTGAAGTGCTTCAGCATTTATTGGCCAGGAAAGGTTGGATTATCCATCCAAAGACTCTAAGAAAGAGGTTTCAGAGAAAACTGAGACAATTGAGGGCAGTGACTTTCCCTTCATAATTTGATCTATTCACTTTGGATATGTAAATTGCCTTAATGGTTCTCTAGTACTACCCTTTTGTGATTTTATGAATGGTGCATCTTTTCATGGAATTTCCTTCCCATATTCTCTTGTTCTTTTCTTTTTCCTTTAAACAGCTAAAGCATTGCTTCCTCTGAGAAACTTTCCCTGATTGTGGTTTGATTGATATCTTCCTACACGGTGACTATTAGCTTTGCACGAATATTTTTATAATAGCACATATTACATTGGTCTGGAATTGACTGATCTCTTATTATGCATCCTATCACTGAGGGTAGGGAACTATGTCTTATTCAACTTGGTGGTCACAATGTCTACGACATGTTTGACACAAATACATACTCAATATAGAGTTTTTAAAAATTGAATGAATTAATATAAGATTAAACTTATAATGCATTTAAAAGCTTTCCCCTTGTTTTATAGATAAACTGCTTCTAGCATATGAAGTCAGCATCTGTAAAGACTAGATGGAACCGAAGAACAATGTGACTTACTTTGTCCTCTTGGGCCTCACACAGAATCCAAAGGAGCAGAAAGTCCTTTTTGTTATGTTCTTGCTTTTCTACATTTTGACCATGGTGGGTAACATGCTCATTGTCGTGACTGTAATTGCCAGTAAGACACTGAACTCACCGATGTACTTTTTTCTTGCTAGCTTATCATTTATGGATGCCACTTTTTCCTCTGTCATTACCCCAAGGTTGATTTCAGACTTGTTCTTTGGGACAAATACTATATCTTTCCAATCTTGTATGACTCAACTCTTTACAGAGCACTTTTTTGGTGGGTCAGAGATCTTTCTTCTGTTGGTGATGGCCTATGACCGCTATGTGGCCATCTGTAAGCCCTTGCATTATTTGGTTATCATGAGGCATTGGGTGTGTGTTGTGCTACTGGTAGTGTCCTGGGGTGGAGGTCTTCTGCACTCGGCAATTCAACTTAGTACTATTTATGGGCTCCCATTCTGTGGCCCTAATGTCATTGATCACTTTATCTGTGACATGTACCCCTTATTGAAGCTCATCTGTACTGACACATATGTCATTGGCCTCTTAGTGGTGGCCAATGGAGGACTGATCTGCACTGTTGTGTTTCTGCTCTTGCTCATCTCTTATGGTGTCATCTTGCGCTCTCTAAAGAACCTTAGTCAGGAAGGGAGGCGGAAAGCCCTCCAGACCTGTGGTTCCCACATCACTGTGGTTGTCTTCTTCTTTGTTCCCTGTATTTTCATGTATGCAAGACCTGCAGAGACCTTCCCCTTTGACAAGTTACTGAGTGTGTTTTATACAATCATAACTCCCATGCTCAATCCACTAATCTACACTCTGAGAAATTCAGAGATGACAAGTACTATGAAGAAGCTCTGGAGAAGAAGTTATACCTGATAATAAATAAGTTTACCATTTACCATGAGGAGTTATTTAACATTGAGAACAGTCTCCTTGGTATGCAGGAATTTTCTTAAATCTGATGCAAACTTTTTTTTTCTCCACAGGGTTTATGGTAATTATAATTAAAGAATGAACTATAATTATGTAAATAATATGTATATAATTAATATATGTATACAGGAATGTGCTTTAATTAGAATTAAAAATGAACTATATGTTTGTGCTATTAGTAAGGGTGTCCTTGATAGAATGTAAGCTCTATAATGCCTTGCTTATCCCTGTAGCTAGAAATCTGAAATGCATGCAAAGTGAGAAGTCAACAAATAATATGTCATGAATTAGTCAATGAAATATCTAGAGTAATGCTAATTAGTAATTAATTTCTGTATTTATTTTTATTTTTCTCATTCTCAGTTTTATTTTAAGTCAGATTCTTGTCCTTTGTCTTCTTTTTATTTGTTGTTCTAGTTAAAATATTTAATGTTATATAGACCAGCCCAGTTTTTCAATTTCATTTGCATCACACATGAAATTTTTAGTCATATTGTCCTTTTTTAAATAAAAATTGACAATGTAGTAGACAATGAATCAATTTTATTGATTAAATTTAATTTTCAATAATATTTAATTTTTAATTAATTAAATTGAATATTTATTTTATTTATTAATTTTATTTATTATTAATTAGTTCATTAATAGTGAATTAATATATTAAATATAAATAATAGAATCCATATAGAATGGTAATAGTATAGAATCGATTTCTTACCCATCCCTCATCAGAGACTCCCAGTTCTACTTTAGATGCAGTCACTGTACTCAGTTTGTAAGATTCTTCAAGTAATAATCTTTGCCATAATCATGCCATAATATCCTACCATTTTGAATGTGGCTTTTTATTGGTTGGAAATTTGTTTGGTTTCTATATATCTTTGGCTAGTTTCTCAAGCTCCTTTAAAGTTATTTTAGTCAGTTTAGTGTTTCTCCCCATATTCCTGTGGGGAATCTAAGGCCTGTGATGTCCTCATCTGCTATCTTCGTCTGGCAGCACCTTATTAAGGCATTTCCTGGGAAGTATCCTTCACAGCTAAAGTTTGGGGGATAATAAAGTGCTTACATTTTGATAAATCATGCAAAGCAAACTCATTGTCTTTGCAATTACAAAAAAAAATCTTCGTATATAAGAATGTTTTAGGTCTGCATTTTCCATATTCTCTTTTTATACTTTTTAATCTTCTGCCACATCTGGGCTGATTCTTACTCCTTTTGCCCTCGAACAGAAGATCTACCATTTATTCTTGTTACATTATTTGGGCAAAAACTCACTGCTATTTTTATCTTAACTAGTCATTCACACTGAGAGCCTTTTTTTCATGGTTTGGGCGTGTGAAGAAGATTTTCTCAATCATTTTGTAAGCACATTTCAGAGACATGCATGACAGGATTTAGTATATTAGAATGATATATTATTATGATTATTTTAATCATGATATGATATGATATGATTAGAAATTTTACAGCATACTATTTGAGTGAGACAGTCCTGAGATAAAACTTAACTTTTCCACCCATAGTGTGAATTTCACAAAACACAACGTCTTGAGGATTCAATTCAAGAGTAATGATAAAGACATTATCAAGATCAAATAAATAATCCTTGTAAAACTCTTAGGGCCATTGAATGCTTAATAGATGTTAGTTATTGTGAACATTCATTCTTACTGGAGTATCTGAAAGTACAATAGAAATATTAATTAATGTAATCTTTTGTGAGCTTTAGAAGGAATAGTACACTACATTTTCCTGTTGTGAAGAATATTCTGAAAGCTGACTGTCGTTTTAGAAGCTCTCGGGGACTGGAATGGTTTCCAACCTCTTTGGCCATTACTGAACCTCTGTCTCTTGGTTTTCTAATCTACATTTGCCCTGTGCCTCCATGTTCTTGGGGCTGAGCCATTTGTGGGCCTGATTTTCTTATGACAAGTCCTTTGTGAGTGGTCTAAAGGTCATTTTATTATGAATCTGAGGTCAATGGAGCAGGCAACCAGAATATGAACTGTTGAAATGAAGGAAGATATTTGTTTAGGGAAGATAGTAGGGTGCACTGGTTAAGAGAAGGCTCTGGAGTCAAATTTCCTCTGTTTGAATGTGACCTGGGAAATTTTTAAAACTCTCTGTGCCATTTTTTCTTCATCTGTAAAAACAGACATGATAGTACCTATCTCCTAAATTTGTTGGGCCACTTAAATGAGTAAATATTTGTTATGTGCTAATAACAGTGTCTGACACATTGAAACATTATAAAAGCGTTTTTAAGGCAAAATATATTGACTTGTACTGAGCCAACTTCTGGATGGGTGTGGAACTTGCCCTGTCTTTTTCTTTTTAGCTGGAAAGGTATCTTCTTGTATGAGTATCCTAATACAAATTATCACCAATATGATTACTTCCTTGAAGTTCAAGCAGTTGTGTATGAGCTCTTAGGGCCATTATTCAGCCTTGGAAGTTCTGTAAGAAGTGGAGTCAGAGGATGTAGAAGAAGTTGGTAGTTTGGAGTCAACTGAGTTAAGATCATATTCCACCTCACTAGTTAATGTATCACTGCATGTGTGCCTCAATCTCGGAATCTTATTTTAATCTCAGTTATTAAATATAATGAAAAGGTAGTACTTACTTCATAGAGTTATTTTAAGTATTAGACGAGATAATGTACGCAAAGCATCCAGGACAATGTCTGGCACTCAGTAGCTGCTTTATTAATGTCTGTGTTAATTAAAACTGTGTTTGTTGCCTCCCTCCCTTCTACAGCAATGTCTGGTTTGTCTAACTTTTTTGAACTGTGTGATTATTTTTATGATTCAATTATGTGTAGATAATATATTAAGCCCATGAGAAACTTTCATAAATCTGAATGTAAACCTAATAAAATTAATGTAAGGTGGATGAGATTAACTCTGAATAACTTACTTCAAAAATGTCAGTGTCACCCAAATTAAAATTAGCTTAAGGAAAACCTCATAATTGAATGAACTTTTTAATGTCAAATAAAAAACATGTGACAAATACAATTGTGTTAAAGATTATTATTTATGTACTACAATGTGGCATAAGCTATGAAAGCATTGCTTTATATAATCTTCATAAGAGGCTTATGAAAAAGCTACAATTAATCCTTTTTCCAGAATAATGTACTGAAGTTTGGAAAACTTAAATAACTTACCCAAGGTCAAAGAGCTGGCAAATACCTAAGGTAGGATTTGAACCCATGTAGTTTAGTTTCAGAACTTCCACTCTTAAACACTTTGGCAAATATCATAATAATGATCATTCCTGAATAAAGAAACAGTTTCTAGTGGTGAGAGATAAGCAAAAAAATAAGTAAACATATATGAAAAAGATAAAGAGAGTAAAATTTCTAAAATAATAAAGGAGTGATTTAACAGAGTGTGACTCAGAGGCAGGGGGCCATGCTAGACTGGGTGTTCAAAGAAGACCCAAGAGGAAGAATTTACAGCATTTATCTAACCATGTCCAGGGATGAAAGACAATGAGCTGACGGTCATGAGTAAAACCACTAGAGATGAATTTCTGTATCTGGGAAAAGGAATTTTATCTGACCTGTAGGATTATCATTATCTACTTTTGTCTCTTCTGTCTCAAAGATCATGAAACAACCTTAATCTTGTTTAATAAATTCAGCTCAAATTAAATCAGGATGAAGCTAAATAAAATGTTATATATATATATAATACACATAAATCATAGATATTTAAGCAAATATTACTTCAAGATGCTGAGTTAAGCACAGTTGTAGACAGAAGGCTATCTGTTTAACCAAATTTGCATGAAAATATAACTGGGCTTTCCGTAGTCTATAAGACTATGCACAATTGCTGCCACTCAAACACACATCTCCATAAACTTATCCAGTACCACAGTCTCCCATGGTGCCTATGTTTCAGTCCCAATGGCTTCGTTCTTGCCCCAGGGCCTTTGTACTATCTCTTCTTTATTTCTAAAATGCTTTCCTTCCAGAGGTCCACATGACTGGCTCATTGTTATCACTCAGTTTTCAGTCCAACTGCCATTTTCTAAGAGAGGACTTTCTTAACCATCCATGCAAAGTCATCCTCTTTCTCCTTGAGTTACCGTTTATCAAACAACTCTGTTAATTTTCTCTACAGGATTTTCACCATCTGATTTATCTGTTTATTGTTTCTATCTTTCAACTCGTACATAAACTCCATAAAAGTAGAGGTATTACTTGTTTTTCTCATTACTGCATCTCCAAGCACTGAGGACAGAGACTGGTACAGATTAAATGCTTAATAAATATTTACTCAATAAATTGCCATCAGCTCCATGTACCACTCTTTAGAATAAATGAATTGGTAAAAGAAAGCCTTGTTAACTGGAATGCTTCTGATATTGATGATATTCCACCTTGGTGAATAAATTGAAATGGAGAATTTTATATTAGTTTGGTATATGTCAGGGATCTTATCTGAAGAGACAGAATCATATCTAGAGAGATTAATTAGAAAGGATTTACTATATGAAATTATAGCATAAAGAATCTTTGGATGGTCTAGAGTCACAGATTCTAATCTGAGTGGCAAGGAACAATTTGCATAAGCACACCCGACAGGGCTGGCATGCTAAAGGACATGCTGCCTCTGCTGACACCATGACTGGCTAACTGCAAAGATGCCATCAGTGCCCTGACCTAGGGACCACTCTGACTCTATTGACGCTGTACCAGAACCCAGCCTCAGATAACTAATTTCCAATTTAAAGACTTGCACAGATGATTTTGGTTGGCAGAACCAAAGTCACATGTCTGTACTCGATTGTCAAGGAGATCTGGAAAATGTAGGCCTCTGGATTTTATTTTGGATATTACATCCTCTGGGACACTAACAAAATGTCTGAGTGCATTCAAAGTTTTTGGGCAGTCACTCACCATTTCATACAGTTGGGGATGGAGTCTTCTGTAAAGCATTTTATTTTATCTGCTAGATAGTTGTCCTTGTTTCTGTTTTCCCTACACATAAGAAAGAAGGGAGTCATAAAGGACTATAAGTAAGTTTGTGAGCAGAAAAATTGGTGATACTGTAGAGAGCTATTGGTATATTCATGTAAATTTTACTGAACACCTACTCTGTCTGCATGGATTGTGCTTAGTGCTCAAAAAGAAACACAAATAACTGGGATATTTTTTAACGTGATTTGGTAGCAATTTTAAGAAAAGCAATTTTTTTTAAAAGCTATGTCCTATCTTAATTTTGAAATGTTTTAGATGGAAGCTTTCCTCAATTAAGAAAAAATTGTCCAAGCTATTTACTGTCACTTTAAATAAAATCAAAATTCCTTACTAAGCTCTGTACTGCCTTGAACACTACAGTTCCTATTCATCTCTTCAATT